CTGGGGGGGCTTTCAGGTCCCTCCCCACCCAACCGTGCTGCGATAGGACCTGGGCCAGCACGCAGGAGGAGGCTGATGTACCGGTGGTTTCTTGCCTGCAAACCCCAGGCTCCTGTTTGCTCCCTCCTGATTAGGGATCGCTGAGCTCCTGCCCAACTGCTGCCCGGGAGCACCTGTATCACGTATGCTCAGGCACCCCACAACAAGTGGGACACAGCAAACTGGTCCAGGCAAATTGGGATTTGGCAGTTAATGAGGCAGTGGGCAGGGAAGAGGGTGGCGAGGTGTTGCTCGAGGCTGCATGGGACTGCAGGAGCAGTGCAACCAGAGTGGTGACATGCAGGAGGGCACGGTCCCTGCCATCCGCTGGGACACAGGAGGCCTCGACCCATATGGAACTCATGGGAGTGGGCAGGGCCAGGCAGGTCCCAGGCTCTGGGAGAGCCTGGTGCTTCTCCTTGGCGGGCAGAACAGTCCTCCCCCACAGCAGATGCACACACATAAAGTGCTGCGCTGCCCGGCGATGGGAGTTACGGGCAGAGATGGGAAGACAACGCGATGTTATACTCTGCATGAACAGAATTTCAACTGGGTTTTTCTGCAGAAACCGTGGAAATGGCGAGGATTTCCTCGACCCTGTTTTTGCATGGAGGGAATAGCCAGAAACTACAGAGGAATTAGGGCATAGAGATTCCGAAGGTGGGAGTGACTGCAAGAAAAACTCTCACCGCCCGGAGATGTGCGCTTACGGTGCGGGCGCAACGGCCTGGCAGAATTCCGGCATCAGCCAGAAACGCACCAAGGCAACAGGCGGAGATGAGTGTGGCTGGAGAGTGCCTTCTGCAGGGAATGAAGAATTGGAGAGTCACAGCATGGTTTGGGTTGGGAGGGACCTTAAAGCCAATCCAGTGCCCCCCCCTGCCATGGGCAGGGACACCTTCCATAGACCAGGGTGCTCCAACCTCGTCCATGTCCTTCTGCCTTTGGGGGCCCCAGAGCTGGAGCAGAACTGCAGGGGGGTCTCCCCAGAGCGGAGCAGAGGGGCAGAATCCCCTCCCTCGCCCCCCTGGCCACGCTGCTCTGGATCCAGCCCAGGATGGGGTTGGCTTTCTGGGCTGCCAGCGCACACGGCCGGCTCCTGGCCAGCTCCTCGCCCCCAGCCCCCCAAGTCCTTCCCCTCAGGGCTGCTCCCCATCCATTCTCCCCCAGCCTGGCCTGGGGCTGGGATTGCCCCCACCCACGTGCAGGACCTTGCCCTTGGCCTGGCTGAACTCCATGGGGTCGGCACGGTCCCACCTCCCCCGCCTGTCCAGGTCCCTCTGGATGCCATCCCTTCCCTCCAGCCTGTCACCGCACAGGCTGGCATCGTCTCCTTTCTTGGTATTAGTATTTGACATGTAACCAATTGAATTGCTCACTTTCCTGCCAGAAAGAAGACTTCCTCTCATGGCTGAATGTCAATACCAGCCTGTCAGGACTGATTTGGGCCTGTATTTTTTTGGTTTGCCTTTATGGTTTACTGTGAGGGAGCTAAAGCAGTTTTTCCTCCTCCAATCCTGCACATCTGCCCACTAAAGTGGGGTGATGCAGCCTCACCCAGAGCAGGCTACGAAGGGCGAAAAACCCGTCCTACCTGTAAGGCAAACGAAGCATCTCGGTTTGAGGCCGCCGATTAGAGAGGAAGGGGAAGGACGAGGCGGGAGATACCATCTCCAGCAGTCACATCGATGGCGGAGAATTAAACAAATGACTGTCCCAAATGAACTGCTGAACACTGATCACCAACTACCTTTGTCAAAGCTCTACAGCGAAACCAGCTCAACAGTGGCTGCTCTATGGAAAAATGAGTTGGAAATCCTCCAGTGCTGGGGGGTGAACCAGGCCTGCTCTGCCATGCCAGCCCCAAACAGGCCGAAGCACCCAACGCAGCCCAGGCGCAGGCTCGTGCACGAAGAAAAAGTGTTCTCAGAAGAGCAGGATAATAAACAACAAAAAAAGAACTCCAGTTCTTTAAGACACAAGCCAACCAACCCCCTCGCTCCCAACCTCGTAAGGATAAACAGTATTCTCACGTTCAGGACTTCCTGCCGGAGAGTTGCGGGCTCCACGCAGCTGATGAGGCGAAGCAGGAGGTCCATCATTGCTGACGTGTCGATATGCTTTAGCACCAGGCTAATGAATCTCTCTTTTTTCCTTAAAAACGCAATCACCTGCAAAGAGAAGTGACCATCAGCTGCTCGTACAACGCAGAGGCACGGCACACAGAACTGCCTGCGCTTCACCAGCCAATCCTGACGCAAACCAGCTCCCGGGTTGAGGAGTTCCCCAGAGAACCAACGGAGAGAGTAACATTCTCGTTCCAGTGCTACATCAAATCTTTTTAGCTATCTTTTCTCTCCTCTGTGCCACAAAACCCCAAACCCAGCGAAATGAGTGTGAAGAAGCTGGTGAGGCTGGAGAATTTTCTATTCCACCAAGGCGCTGCGACAGCCTTCCTCCCAGTAATCATAGAATCACAGAATGGTTTGGGTTGGAAGGGACCTTAAAGATCATCTAGTTCCACCCCCCCTGCCATGGGCAGGGACACCTTCCACTAGACCAGGTTGCTCCAAGCCTCATCCAGCCTGGCCTTGGACACTTCCAGGGATAGGGCATCCACAGCTTCTCTGGGAACCTGTTCCAGTGCCTCACCACCCTCTCTGTGAAGAATTTCTTCCTGATATCTAATCTAAACCTCCCTGATTTCAATTTATCCCCATTACCCCTTGTCCTGTCACTACAGGCTCTTGTAAAAAGTCCTCTCCCAGCACCCTTGTAGCTCCTTCAGGTATGCAAATCAATTCAGAACTGGAACATGTATATTCCTAAAAAACTGTTCAGCTGACGCTTCCAGCACCCCTTTTTCGGGCACGAGACGGAGGCACTGTTTATGCAACGTGACAATCCCGGGCAGCAATCACAGGCTGCACTGAGACGCCACAGCATGAAAAATAAAGCTTTATCTGTGGCACAGGAAGAGCCCAGCTACTGCAGATCTGAACCCAAACCTGTGCAAGGGTGCCTAAACGGGCCGGCACCTCCCTCCGCTGAGGCAGTCCGGAGAACCTTCCCCATCTCACAGAGCAGAGCGAGCTACTTTTCAGCTCTAAGAAGGGAGAGAGATCGCGAGGCCGGCAACGACACTGCCACACACCACAAACACCCTCGGCGAGCTCGTTAGGGCTTACAGGACACGTCTAATCACTACCTGTTCAGTTTTTCTTGCAATGAGATTCCCAATAGTCTTACTGAAGAAACTGGCAAGCAAAGGGTTCAAAGGAGGCTCGTGATCCAAGAAGTCGTAGAGGATATTCAGCAGAGTTTCATCCCCTCCCAGCTTGTCGTTGATCTGCGGCACGTCCGAGGTCAGCAGTTCGCACGCGGTGTTTGGGTACCTGGAAGGACAGAGCCAGAGCAACTAAAGGTGAAATGAAAACTGGCAGGAAAATCTTCCCTTGTTGAAGTTATAAAGAGCAGGAGGATCGCCCTGGGGACAGGGGACAACCAGCCCGACCCACACGAGAAACGAGGGTCACCTACACCCATGGCACACGCTGAGGAAACACATCACGTGGCTGGGTTTTCACTGACCCCGATTTACGTGTCTCAGCTGCCTTGGAACCACGTGTCAGTGACGCTCTGCCAGCGTCGACATGCTCCGAATCTCGTGACGGGATTCAACATGAATCCATGGGCACAACCGAGCGGAAGGCCGATTGGAAGACCTCTGTGCCAGGTTCAGGCAGGGAAGAGTTGACTCTCTTTGCCGTGGGTGCTGTGAAGCTGTTCCTGGATGCAGGGAGCAGCACTGAGAAGGTCTGTGCTGGCGCTGGGCAATGCCTGCACTGAATTCCAGGCCTGCTCCTGATCCTGCAGCTGCATTCCCAGCTCTCGCTGTCTCGCTACAGGCAGTGCAGGGACACACAGTTCAGGCACCTGACCCCAACTGACCAGGGGAATATTTCATTCCACAGTACGTCATGCTGGGGGCAGAGGCGAGGAGGGGGTCCAGGAGCCATCACTCTCTCCCTTACTCTCTTGCTCATTCACTCCCATACACTTGCTAATCCTCACCCTGACTCCTGCGTGAGCTGCTTTGCCAACTCATGTGCTGGCTCCTTTGTGAGGGAGTTGGTGGGTTGGTTTAGTTTTCCCGGTCGTGCTATCGCTGAGAGGGTTCGCTCAGAACCTGCTGCGATAGCTCTCGGGTTAC